AAAAATGCCAAAATTGTTAACGACAAGATGAGTGAGGATTTCACAGCTCTTCATATTGCCGCTGTTAACGGTTACGTAGAGATAGCTAGTACTCTAATACAGAAAGTGAGTATAGTCATTTCCTTCAACTAGTTTGTTTTAAAACTGATATGGCATCAACCAATGGTAACAATGCATATACTAAGTATTTATTCGATGTATTTCTTGGCTTCTTGTGTCTTGCTAGGTTAGTCATGTAGTTATGCATTTCAAACAAAAAGTTTTGAATAGTCTATGTTTGTCTTGTGTTTTCTTCTCACTGCAAATCATCGTTCTTAGGGCCGATGTGATGTGAATGCCAGGGACAAGGACAAAAGAACACCTTTAATAATCAGTGTAGCGCAAGGCCATAAAAGAACAACGGAGGTTCTAATAGCAGCTAGTGGGTCACGGCTAAAGCCATTGTCAAACGTTTACTGAAGAAATACGATAAATCTGTAGACAGAAATCTATAATCTAACTAAATTATGCTGACAAGAGGTTTAGAACTTTGTTGTTTTTAGCCATTTGAAGTAACATACTCATAGGTTGTCATGTGAGGAAAAACTCCTATGATATGTATACATTATAGTATTATCAAAGTCATTCAAGATTTTTAAAAAATCAGAAACCAAACTATATTAGATAATTTAAAAAAAATAAGAAGACTTTCGTCATTTTGAAATGTGACTTTTCAAGATGTTTTTGATCCTCAGCTGATTTGAATACTATTTGCAGGTTGCGATGTCAATGCACAGGACATAAATGGTAACACCGCTTTACATGTAGCCCAGATGAAGAACTATTTTCCAGTGGTATGAAGTGAAAATCTATTATTTGTATTCTGTTTAAGAATAAATTGGTACTATGAAGAGAAACCCCTTTATACTTAAATCCACGTAACCCCTTTATACTTAAATTGAAATTTTGAATTATGTTAAGATAAAAAATTTGATATTATACAGATTTTAATCTGAATTATGTCCACAGCCCATCAATTAAAATGCACAAATTGTCGACCAAATGTTTGTATTTACAGCATTTCGATTCACATGGCATATTGCTATGTGAATTTTACTTAAAACGTTCAATTAGTCTCCTATAATTGGTAAACAGATACATAATTTATATTATTTTGTTCATTCAACAAATAAATAATGTTCTTCTTAAATAAATGAAGCATATATGCAGTTCTTGAAAAACAATTTTCAGACATTATCTTGAATCAAATTTTAAACATTCTAAGACTACAAAAAGATGAAAAAAGATACACACATTTTTTAAGGAATCACTCTCTAGCTAGTAGAGTATGCAAGGGCATCAACGATAGTTGGAAACGTGGGGTATTTGCATAGCCGTTACGCAAAAATTATCCAACATTTCCAACTATCGTTGATGTACTCTACTTACTAGACAGTGATTCGTAACCCATTATTTTCGTTTAGTTAAAAGTTAAGGTAAATATCAAAAAATCGTAAAAGAGCCTCCATACTATACATTGTCTTAGTGTAAAAGTAAGTCGTCAACTGTAACTAATAATCAGCGCTCCACATAAAACTTAGCTCCTGACATATCGCTTGACGGTAGAATGATCAAGATATCAACCCTACTAACTTTAAAAGAGTTATCACAGAGAAAATATATAAAAATGGAAATATTTGTATTTTGACAAACTAAATGCACAAATCTTAAAAAGTTGAGATGAATTTTTTCAATTTTCTGTCCTTTGTAGAAACCTAAAACTTTATTACCATAATTTAGAATGCTTACACACACAACAAAGCAACAGTATATAAAGCCCTTTCTTAGTTTGAAGTGTTTTTTAAAAAGACAATCGTGACAATGGAGAGCAAAAGGTGTACCAATATATGGCATACATTAAACTTTGACTGAAACTTAAAGTGCATCTGTAATAATTTTATATGAATGTACACAAAGAATACACTATCGTTTTCAAATTGTGATTACAATTTACAGATAATACCTAAAATTTTAAGACGTATCCATCTATTATTGTTTGAATCACCAGAATCACCTTTGTTAAAAACAGGAACTGTTTAAATGTGGTCGAAAAATATCTTTGAATTCTATGAAGCAGAATGTATGCGATAGACGGTCAATAGCTTTGATATTATCTCAAAGATTTATACCATATATAATTTATCAAAAAAAAGGAGGTCGTGTGTCTTCTACAACTTTGTCATTCAAAATACTGGATCATGCCAACAATGTTATTTTGGTTCCTAGAGAGTTAACCCCTGAATCTCTAATTGTCTGTCGCATGAGAAAGCATTTGCTTAGTTGTTAGTTTTCTAATTCATCTATTTTGCAGCATTTGAAAACAAATCAAGAGGACGGAAAAAACGTTGGCACAGAAATCTTATGTACTTTACTAGAAGCCAAGGCAGATATTCACATTAAAAACAAAGACAAGAAATCCCCTCTGGATTTGGCTGAAGATGAAAAAACAAAACAGTTCATGACTAGGTAAGCAGAACAGTTTTAGATTCAAAAGGTGATGATAACGGATAATGATCTAAAAAAACTCTGAAAACGATGAATGTCGACCGGCTTTGGGCCCCGTGTATTGATCAGATAGGTGGAATTATTTGAGTGAGTTTGAGTTTAAAACAAAAGTCTATCATATCGGTAAAAATACAACCCAAACATAGGTTGCATTTGCTTTCAAGGCAATTATAATGATATAAGAATCTATGAAATATCGGCCTTAAAAAGGAGGTTAAAATCCCTGGAATATGAACTTATCGCTAAGTAGCTGACTTCTCTTATCATATTTTCTGATCATATTTTGAAATATTACCAGATTATCTAAAAATGCTGGTGCTGCCACACTTGCTACTACAAAGAGAGGTATTGGACTTCCCCTTGACTGGGAGAAGATGGGATCAGAAAGTTTCAAAAGAGTTCCCCTCTCTCCAGATGCTGGTGGTATGATACAGAAGGAGTATGAAATGGTTGCACAGAAGTTCAAGAAGACATTAGGACAAGTCAAGATATTGCAAATAGACAGAGTTCAAAATATGCTGTATTGGGAACACTATCAATTGTAAGTCACTAATATGTACCATACATAATCTTTTTCTAAGGACTTCTTGTTTTAATGCAGGTTGATAGGCTATAACTGTATAGAAAAGAACGAATTGCATAAAAAGTTTTCTTGTACCCACCCTTATTATTTTTTCTAAGCATGCGAAGACATCTCGAAAGCAAATATGGAGGCATTGGATGTTCCAATGAGAGGGACCTATTTCATGGTACTATACCAAAGATAGTAAATGCCATCTGCAAAGACAACTTTGACTTTCGTCTGGCAGGTGATAGAGTTGGGACTCTAATAGGGCACGGTGCTTATTTTGCAATGGATGCCAAGTATTCTGATTTGTATGCAACACCAGATGAACAGAGGCACAAGTACATGTTTCTAGCCAAAGTTTTGTGTGGAAAATGGTGTGTTGGGGATGGAAAGTATAAAAGGCCTCCCCCTGTTGATCCTTCGAGAGAAGATTCAGAACTTTATGACTCATGTGTAGATAATCAGGATAATCCAAGAATCGTCTGTGTATTTGATAAGAATCAATATTATCCTCACTATGTGATCAGATACAAATAAGATTTTATTGAACGCTTTCATCACAGTTTTACATATATCCACTAGTTTGAAAATCTAGATATTGTAACAATTTTATTTCAGTGATTAGCTGTATATAAAAATAAAATGAAACTATATCAAATTATTGAATAGCAATAGAATTTGAATTCTGTTGGTTTCCTGGTCGTGTTGTAGAAACTTTACCGAACAATTAATAATTTTTAGTATGTTTTACAATCTGTATTATTATAAAATGTGTTGATTTATTAAACTTTGATGTGCAAACAGTAATCATCTTATGCTTTGTTAAAGATATGTTGAATTATATTTAAAAATAATAATGACGAAATGGTCATGAGGCTTATATTTGTTATACCCCCACTTGAAAAGCAAGAGGGTGTATAGTAATCGGTATGTCCGTCCGTCTGTGCGTCAGTTTGTCTGTTACGCTTTGTGGTACCCATCTGTTATCCGCAACTCGTCTCATACCACTGAATGAAATTTCACGGAATCTTTATTACATATTGCCATTGTGCAACTCTTATTTTACTTTTTGATCTGATACATACTTTGGGTTTCCCACATCAAGACATGAAACTTACATTATATTCATATGGGAGGCGGGAGTATCATTTAGAGAGCTCATTGCTCAAAGTGCTTCTAGTTTTTCTTGCAATGCTGCATTATAATAAAAGTAATTTTATTATTTTATAATATAATAAAAGTAATATGAACTGCTAAAAATATTATAAATGTAATATGGTGTTCATTAATACTGATTAAAAAAAAGAAATCATCACTTTCATCTTTCAAATGGAATTTAAGCTTCTTGATGTGAAAAAAGGACATCAATCTGCCAAACTTGTCCGTGAAAATAAATAGGACCCGACACTCTAAACCAAATTTTGATTGACTTTTTTTCTTATTTGAATGATAATCATATAATAACGTATAAATATATATAAATGTAAAAATAAATGATAAAATGAAGAGTTAATCGATGGTTGTATAACGGATACTTGACTTAAAATCCGCCTCTTCAGGTGTCTACCTTAGCAGTTTCGACTTATGGTTATTGTTCGACTTTAAAGCTTAAAAAATCTTTAAAAACACTTTCGCAAAAAACAAACATTTATAAGGGACTTTTACATTATAACACATACACTATGCACATAAACAGTAACAGTTGTTTGTAAGAAGCTTTAGGACCAACAATACAATTGAACAGGGGGTCTATGGGCCTTAGAGGTCACCTGAGTATCATGCTTTCCATCAACTGAATTTGATTCATGTTTTAAACCAGAGGCAATGGAATTCACAATTTCAAAAGAGGCACCTTTGCTTATTATAATTATACACTCAGCTTGCTTACTTTGGTTATTTAATACCCGGAGGTAGATCAGAGTAACAAAAGACAAGAGGCCCAAGGGCCTTATAGGTCACCTAAGCATCATGCAAAAACTTTCCAGTGCTTGAATTTGGTTCATATTTTAAGCAAGATGCTATGGCATTTATAATTTTGAAAGAGGCACCATTGCTAATCATAACTACATGTTTATAGTTACTTAACAATTGCACAGTTTGGTTACTTAATACCCATAGGCAAGGTAGAGGAACAAAAAATCCATTTCAACTAATCAGTAATATTCAGCAATAATCAGTAGTGCCCCTACCACACATGAACCCCTGACCCTGGTTCCACACATTGCACGATTTTGAAAAGGCACCCTTGCTTATCAAAAATATTTAATTAATACAAACGGGCAGATTTCAAACAATTAATTCATTTTCAGAATATAAGAGTAGAAGCCCCCCCCCCTCTGTGGTACCCCTGATCCTGGGGCCTTGAAATTCAAAATTATGGAAGAAGGACTCTTGCTCATCATAACTATATAAGTAGTTCGTCTGCTTACATGTAATAACCTGGAACAGAGACATTTTCAAAGAATTCATGTATTTTCACTATGAAAGTATAATTATAATTAATAGAGCCCCACCCTAACACCAGGGCTCCTGACCCTGGGGCCTTGAAATTCAGAATTCTAGAAGAAGGGCTCATGCTCATTATAACTATGTACGTACTTAATTACTGTGGTTTCATCAATTTTCGTTGGCATAAAATTTCGTTGATTTTGTGAAACAGACATTTTCGAGGATACGTAATTTATGGACAAAAGCATTGCCTATACAAATGAATGTCAGATTTCGTAATTCATGGAACATTTGAATTCGTGGATCTACTCAACAACGAAATCCACGACAATTGGTGCTCAACGAATATTGATGAAACCACAGTAGTTTATTTAATACCCAGTAGCAGAGAAGATATTCAAAGAATTCATGTATTTTCACTATATAATCAATAAAGAACCCCACCCTAACACCAGAATCCCTGACCCTGGGGCCATAAAATTCACAATTTTGGTAGAGGCACTCTTGCTCAACATAACTATGTACTTAATTAGTTTATTTATTACCCTGGAGCAGAGAAGAAGATTTTCAAAGAATTCATGTATTTTCACTGTATATTCAATAGAGAGCTCCACCCTAACACCAGAACCCCTGACCCTGGGGGTCATAACATTCACAATTTTGGTAGAGGCACTCTTGCTCATCATAACTATGTATTTAGTTAGTTTATTTATTACCCAGGAGCAGAGAAGAAGATTTTCAAAGAAATAATGCATTTTCACTATATAACCTATTTAGCCCCGCCCTAGCACTAGTACCCCGACCCTGGGGCCTTGAAATTCACAAATTTGGAAGAGGCACTCTTGGTTATCATAACTATGTACTTAATTAGTTTATTCAATACTTAGGAGCAGAGAAGAAGATATTCAAAGAATTCATGTATTTTCACTGTATAATCAATAGAGACCCCCACCCTAACACCAGAACCCCTGACCCTGGAGTAATAAAATTCACAATTTTGGTAGAGGCACTCTTGCTCATCATAACTATGTATTTAGTTAGTTTATTTATTACCCAGGAGCAGAGAAGAAGATTTTCAAAGAACTAGTGCATTTTCACTATATAACCTACATGTGTAGTACCCGCATCATTATTCTTTACAAATCTATCGTGTCCTATCGTGCGTGTATCCTATCGTATCGTGCGTGTATCCTATCGTATCGTGTTTTCCGTTTATCAGGTTTTCCGTTTTCTATCGTGTTTTGCGCTTATCGTGTAGATCGTTTATCGGATTCTATCGTGTATCGTGTTTTGCATTTATCGTGTATATTCAGAAACCCTCGTTTTTTATCTTTACAATAGGAAGAAACTACCGAGTATTCCGAGTTTTTTTTTTTCGTTTTGTGAACTAAAATAAGATTACATTAACCGAGAAAGAAAAAAAGAAAGTTTTATCTCTTAGTATTTCATTTATTAAAAGAAATATTAAAGCGTAGAAGGAACATAACAAATAATAAATGAATTCATTCATCAATAATAAATTAAATGGTTTAATAATTATGGTCAAGCAATGAGTGTTTGTCAAAATTAAAACCATTTCGGGAATGAAATAATCGAACCCCTGACTTTATTTTTGATTTATCGAATTGTATGCTTTTTTTTGGTCAAAATCAAATATTATCGTGATTTTCTTAAATTTTTCAGAGTAACTAAAGGAAGAATTTCGGTAAGCCAAGATGTATGCGTACCCTAATAAATAAATAAATAATAAACAAGGACTGATATGTGTCTTTTTAAAAAAAAAAGTTATGTTCGTTTTCCCCATATTTATCGTCAATTAAATAATATTAATCATGCATTTATGACTCTGATCTGCATGTAAAATAATTATTTAAAGTCGTGATATTATTACGCTCAATTTTTAAATTACAAATTATAAATCACAATAATAAAATATGTATAATGCATTCATTCTTTCTTTATTTCCCCGAACCGGAGATTCTATATAACATGACAACATATATGAACAGTGAAACATATTTACAACATTATAAGTGAAAATCAGTTAGATGAAAAACAACAAAAAATAGCTATAAATAATAATAATAAATAAACAATTCGCGTGACATTGAAAGTTATGAGGAAGTAAATAAGTAAAAAAATCACAAACAGATATAGACCAGATTAATTGATTGCATTACTCTGTAGAAATGGGCTGCTGCGTCCCTTATGAATTTAAAGTTATGTATGTGAAGATCAGGGTTGTCGAAAGCGACGTTTCCAGTTGCGGAGATTCGAGATCCAAGAAGGAACAAGTAAAGATCTTGCTGGGAAAGTCCAGTTCGGCGCCAAGATTAATACTGAAGTCTTCGATGATTGTCTCCCACCAGGCATCTCTGTATGAAGATGTTCCAGAGCATGAAGTGGACAGATGTTCGAAAACATTCGTAAACGTTCTTTTACAGATAGGACAACATTCTTCTGGTATATTCAAAAGGGTCCAGAGTTTAGCGATAAATTTACATAACTGAACTTCGTAGATATTTGAAGGGATAGACCAGAGGATTTTGGGCGATTTTCCAGAGCACACAATATTGAATTGCAAGAAATCAGAGTCATTATTCATCCGCTCCTGTCGAGATGATGAAACGTGAGCAAGAACAGAGGTTTTGACAGTTCTTTTCCATTCAGATTTCGAGGGGAAAGAGCCTTCACACAAGTACTTTTTAAGGAAGTGACAGAGGTTGTATTTAGACAGTATTGAGATAATATCCGGAATGAATCCATAACACACGATATTGTTGTTTTGCAGGTAGTCAAAAAGGCGATTCAGGAATAACTGTTTTGTGAGAAAACTGGGGTCTAGTTCGCAAAGACGGCCAAAGAATTGTAGCTTTTTAATGTCAATTTCTGCGGATATTGGGATAAGACCAAGAAGACTCTCACACATGTCGGATCTTGTTTGTTTAGGCAGAGACATTGTGTGTTTACAAATGAAATGCTGAAACGTGCTGAGAAGTTTAATATCCTTTTGCCGGAGATCACACCAAAGTTCACTTCCATATAAGACGGCAGGGAGCACCACCTTCTTGTACAAGTTAACAACGGTAACGGGATTTAAGTGTTCGCATGCCTTCGTAGCAAAATAGGGTTGGCGTTCTTTCCTACAGGCATTGTGGGTTCTCTCGCTTGGATTCATCTTACAGTGTAGGAAGATCCCAAGATGGTTGTAGGTCTCCGACAGGTGAACAGGTTCTTCACCTAATCTCCAAGACAGAGAGGTACCAAGGCGGTTTCCGGCTCGGGTAAAGAGGAGAACACTTGACTTGCTGGCATTAAATTTGAATCGCCATCGCGTGGAATAACTGTACGCAGCGTCGAGCATATTCTGTAGTCCTACAGGGGAGAGAGCTATACAGGAAATGGCGTCAGCAAGAGTTGGGTTTGAACTGGCGATACTATATATCCCGGTGTTGTGACCTGTTCGTTGAGTAGATCGTTGTTGAACACCAAGTACAAGAAAGTGGAGAGCACCCCTCCCTGTCGTACACCTTGGATAACGGGAAACCATTCGGAGTTCGTTTGGTTTACAGCAACAGAGCAGGATGTGTCGGTGTGGCAGTCATCGATGAGAGACCATAAGTGGCCAGATATACCAAGCTGATGCAATTTAAACATTAGGCCATGTCTCCAGACAGTGTCAAAGGCCTGGGTGTCGAGAAAGGCAACAAAAACCGGACTTCCGTGTTCAATATTATAAAATATTGTCTCTTGTAGGTTGAAGGAAGCAGTAATACAACCCAACTTTTGTTGAAATCCTTGTTGTTGGAAATTAGGAAAATGGATATTCGACAGATGAAATGTTTTTTTTGCATATCTGAGAGCTTAGCGCAGGTGTACATGTGTAAGGGTAGCAGATACATATTCTGTTGACACAGTTTACATGTATTAATGCACTACGCATAGATCTATCATATTAGAATATTTACATCCACTGAATTTTTTCCTCTTTATTTCTTAAGAAAACCCATTGCGTTCATCACTGTATGAACTACATTAGGCATATCACCTGTACAGTTTTCTTGATCAGTGGCCGTTCCATCAATGAAACGTTCAAAGACGTTCGCATCATTAACACAATAATTAATATTTTTAATCCTACTTAAAATGATAATTTAAACAGATATAAATATAAACAATAAAATGTCTTTCTTTGTTTGTTATTACTGGAATGAACGGTCGCAGCTATTGCAGAAAAAATTTACATAACCCGCTTACGCGGGTTATGTATTTTTTCTGCAACAGCTGCTTCCGTTCATTCCAGTAATAACAAACAAAGAAAGCATTTTATTGTTTAATTCATTGATTTTGTTTGAGCCGATTTCTTTTATCCTTTCCTTCAGCCGGTCTCTTACATGTACAAGTATTTTCCCCCTAAGATTTCAACTTTTAATTGCGATTTCTTTAATACATAGCAGATTGCAAGTCTAAACATTAAATACAAATAATATTTGATTTATTGCGTTAATTCCTCCTGTAAAGTAATTACATATAAGCACTTGTAGATAAGATTATATAGAAATAATAAAATATCCATTTTTTTCATTCATAATAAATCTATTTCTAGAGTTTTATCAATTTAAAACAGTACCAGTGAAAAGCAGCACACATCTAATTTAAGTGCAACCATTGCTAAAATAAATGTAATTAAACGATTCAGAGTTCAAACTAAATATGCGAATTTCGACATTTACACAAATAATTGGAAATTTCCATCATTGAATAGAAATAAGAAAAATGAAAACAGTCTCCGTCTTCTAATAATTCATTAAACCGGTGTCAAAAAAATAAATTGGATAAAAAACTTCTTCGGTAATAAAACAATAATTTTTTTCGTTTTGTCAAAAAACGTTCCGCATTTTGAAACAATCCTATCAGGTTTTGCGTATATCCTATCGTGAAGATCATTTATCAGGTCTATCGTGTTTTGCGTTTATCGTGTTTTGCGTGTATCGTGTTTTGCGTTTATCGTGTTTTGCGTGTATCCTATCGTATCGTGCGTGTATCCTATCGTATCGTGTATCCTGTAAAGAATAACGATGCGGGTACTGTGTATTTAGCCCCGCCCTAGCACTAGAACCCCTGACCCTGGGGCCATGAATTTCACAATTTTGGTAGAGGACCTAATGCTGATTACAATCATACCAACAGTTTGACTGCTTGATGTTCAGGAGTAAAGAAAGAAGATTTTTAAAGATTGCTCCAATTTTAGTGGTTTTTGCCCCACACCCAGGCCTCAGGGGGGCAGGGACCATGAATTTCACAATTTTTGTTCCCCTTCACCCATAGATGATATATGCCAAATTTGGTTGAAATTGGTTCAGTGGTTTCAGAGAAGAAGCTGAAAATGTTCAAATGTTAACGCACGACGCACGACGGACGACAGACGACGGACGACGACGGACGAAAACAGATAGCAATAGGTCATCTGAGTTTACTCAGGTGACCTAAAAATGCATATTCACTTTTTGTGAATGTTAGGGCCCCTGGGTCAGGAATTCTTGTGTTATGGCTCCACCCCAGTTGTGCACCTCATCACACAGGAACCACTGACTCTGGGGCCACATCTTTCAAAATTTTGGAAAATTTATAAATTTTATTTCATCATGTTGATTAATACTAAAATGCAGGTTTCAAAACATTAAATTATTTTCAGATTATATTACCCCCCCCCCCCTCAGTACATTGTACCTCTATCCCAGGGGCCAGGAAATTAACCATTTTTGGAAGTCGCAGGTTTCTTTGTCATAAATATAAACTAAGATCATTGACATAATACCCAGGAACAAAGGAAAAGATTTTCAAAAAATTCATTCATTTTCACTGTAAAAACATTATGAGCCCAGCCCTAACACAAGAAGCCCTGACCCAGGGGCCCTTATATTCAAAAATCTCACAGAGGCATCCTTCCTCCTCATAATTATGTACATAGTTCATTGATTAAATACCTAGGAATGTTTTAATCCTATTTCAAAGGAAATGAGATAAGATACAATTAGTTACAAATGAGCACATAGTAAAAACATAGAGAGAATTTAACAGATAAACGTCCGAATTTATAATAAAATATAGAAAAGTTATCTTAATTCAAAAATATTAATTTTGCTCGGTGATAGTAATATTGAAAAATTTCACCCCTTGAAAACCATTGTCTACCTCGGCTGCGCCTCGGTTGAGAATGGTTTTCTTGGGGTGATCATTTTCAATATTATACTCAACTATCCTTCTTTATGCAATATTTATACAGTATAATATATAATATGTGGGTACATAGATATGCCTTAAACAATAACGTCTCTTCAATAATGTTTTTAATTCTGTAAACTCTCAGTATAACATCAAACGAATAACTACAACATGGTTTATATATACAATGTTAAAATTTAAAATGATATATTTCACATTTTTTGTACAAAATGCTGTTTTTTTTAACTAAATCAATGGGACACATTATGTTTTACAATACCAAAAAAATGTCTATCCAAACAAAAAAGCATAAGGTTTGGAATTATTCAATAATTAGAATATTCTATTTGCGGAATTTAAAAAAAAGGCAATTAGGAGGCTTTGGCCATGTGACTCAAACTGCTTTATACAGTTGATGCCACTACGTGAATGATGAGAACATGCATGGTTAATCACGACATCTCAAACTAAAGACTCAAATATAAATCAAAACTATAAAGCATCCGGGACATGACCTTTTCTTTTTGCACTGTAATAAAAATCCAGTACTTGGATAAAAATACCTCCAACAACTTTAACGACTTTAATTATGTTCTCTATAGTCCAATTATCTTCATGTTCTATCTGTTGTCTTATCTGTTCCCGAACATTTCTTTGTTCATTGGGCTCCTCGTCCAATCCCTGGTGACATTCTCGTTCTTCTCTTTTTGACTGAGATAGGATATCTTTTTCTACCTTCTCAATAGCTTTTTCAGCTGCTGCGTAGTCAGCATTTGAGAAATATGAACCATTTTTTCGTACGTTTCTATCTATCATGTCAATCAAACGCTGAACTTGTTGATTCTTCTCTTCCTCAGTTGCAAGGTTGTCAAAAAATATACACCTATCATCGCACTTTTTCAAAATGTATTTGAGTGAATCGGGGACTTTGTTTATGTACATTTCTTCACTCAAATTATGTCTTTTCAAGTCATCTTTACCAGTGAAAAGAACAATGAAATACTTAAGAATTTCTTCACCAAAATAAGAAACAAACTTTTCAATTGTTTCCTTTTCTTCCTGTGAAAACCTGTTTCTAACAGAGATAACCAATAAAAAGGCGTGTGGTCCAGGCGAAGTAATAGCGATACATTTAGACATTTCCATTAAAACCGTGTCGTTTGGAGTTTGTGTATCAAACATTCCTGGAGTATCCAAAACGTGAATGTATTTACCAAAGCGAGAAGTGCACCTGCGGCAACATTTTTCAGTAACTGAGCTTCCACCAATATCAACCCTAAAGGCGTTTTCATTTAGAATGCAATTGCCTGTAGAGCTTTTTCCTCCACCAGTTTTACCAAGCAGCACAAGTCTCATTTCATCTTCGAAGTCAAATTCTAAGAAAGAAAAATTAAACGAATTTCTTTAATCTCTGCATACGAGGGACGTTCAATAAATAATGTCATCAGCTCGATGACATACAACATAAAAATAATATGCCATTAAGCTTGACTTTCTCTAATTATTGAAAGAATGACTGCACTTAAGCTATGAGAGTTGGAACCCGATGTTTTGCGCAAAATAAAATTCCAAAATTCATTAAATTTATGTTTAATAGGTATTAAACAATGTCTTAAGAGCAGGTTTTGGTGTATTATATTACATGAAAGTATTAAATAATGCCGAGCGACACTATCTTTTGAGACGGGGGTCTTACAGCTTTGTCTCATTTCTATTGTTATTCATATGCATACCAGTTTTCACGACTTTGTTTACATCGAGACGCAACTTGACCATTTTTCTTATTTGCACAGAATGTGTATTTTACTTTAAACCTATACATATCCAAAGGACAATGTTGGTCAAGTTGCGGCTCATATCTAATTTTTAAAAAAATGTACCCAACCTTCGCTCGAGATAGCTACTAAATTAGCAAGTCACCGAGTGTCAGCCCATGTGACCCGTTTGATATTATAATTACTTTTCTCACGTGACATTCAAGTGTTCGATAAGCTTTCATTGTGTCAGTCGTTGGAAAATTCTTTTTATATCTACATGTACTTCCATTTTCAAAACATTGAAGATCATTGCGTACAATTCATTGGCGTTTTAAAGTTTACGTTGACTTCTTTCACTATAGTGTTTTTGTTCGGGGTATTTTAAAGGAAAAGGGTATTATTTTGCTGATTACATGCTGTACATATAGCAGTGGCGGATCCACAAATTTTAAAAACCGGGGTCCCGACCAGTTGTAGGTCAGGGAAGGAGCCCACAGTCACACAAAAAAAAACTAAACTTTTTATTTTATTTTTCCGTTACTAATTAATTTAGTCCACAATTATTATTCAAGATGATTAAGATAAAGTGAAAATGTCATTTTTTTTAAATGCATGTTGTAGGTTCGAACACATAATTTATAATTATTTTAAGATTTAGTTAATTCGCTGCTTGACAGCAAATACTACATGAGCAGTGAGATTTTAAGTATTACAATTTTAAAAGAACGTTAGATAGAGAAAATTATGCAGTGCTTGATAATGTAGAAGCCGAAATTCATTTTCTTTAATGCATTGTCCTTTGTACTCTGAATAAAGATCAAAACTCTTTTGAAAATTATCTCTGCCAGTAATCAAATGGCATCTCATTTATGGATTTATTGTGTGTACTTATTTCAGATTATCCTACAGACAGGTTGCAAATTATTTTTCATTTATGCTAAGACAGTCCATTATGTTCAGAAAATAAAAATGTATTTCAGTGTCATTTTCATCTACCAATAATTCTTAAAAAAGACACTACAAACCTAAGCGTAAAAAATGCAGACATATATTTATCACAATTTTGTTTATTTTTATGAACTTTTTGTTTTTCTCTTAATGTTCTGCTCTTTACTTACTTTACTTACTTACTTGGATACAAATTAATGAAATTATATGCATTGTTATAAATCATTTATTTTTTGTACACAATGAACACAAAACCCTCCTCTCCACCTTTTTCATATATAATGTAAATCAAATACGGAAAACCATGTGCTTATGATCCATTTCCATGCGATTTAAATGTCTCCGCCCCTTTGCTGCCACCTTAAAATCGAAAGCGGTCCAGTTCAATTTTCCGGAATTTTTGGCTTAAACATGTTCTTTTCAATAGCGTTGTATGTAATTATCGAAATATGCATGACGAAAAATTCTAGAAATAAATATCAAAAACATACGAAAGCCCAGAAGGCTCATTCGAGATTCGAAATACGAGATTCGAAATTCGAGATTCGAAATTCGAGTTTCGAGATTCAAGATCCAAAATAACCAATCAAAAGGCGGTTTGAGATTCAATTACTCCCCTTTATTATTTTTTACTATTAAGAAATCGTTGATTATTTTAATACCGAGGAGGTCATTTTATTAAATTACAACGCAAGAAAAAGTGTTATATATTATCAAAACGAAATTTAAAGATATATTGGATTTTGCTCTGCAAGATATGCTTAATTAATTTATAATAACTTCTTAAATGTCATAAGATATTTATATAAAGAATATATATATTTCGTGTTATCTACTTTGGATACAAGGTTGTTGACATAATAGTAAACTTAGATTAACAGTACATGCATCCCCCCTTTTTTCCGAACATAATTTTTTTACTATTGAAAATGTTCATCGAAAGGTCGGTTGCCAAGCCCCCACCCCCAACCCCCACGTTTTGGTACAGTAGTGCAGTATAGTGAAAGAAGTTTAAGTAGTAGTGTATTAAAAGAAATTAGGTACTACATTGTAAATGAAGTTCGATTCCCCCCGTCCCCTTTCAGGCTTTCACGAAATAGGATTTTCGGGTTTGGACAATTTTTTTCTGTCAGTTTTTATTTCCAGGTTTGAAAATTATAATATTTTTGTCTGCCCCCCCCCCCCCCTCCACCCCACTTTCAAAATCGATGCTTCGTCTCTGTAAAAATTAGTACTACGGGTTTCAAGGTGGATAGTGTTTGTGACACGGTATTAGAACGTGGCCAGTGACCAAGTTTGTGAAACCAATAGAAAGCCCCTTAAATACGGATGGGTGAAACATGCATGCTTAATAAAGATAATGACCCATTGGGAATAATAAATTTTAAAAAATCATTGTTAATCCCCTTATCCCCACCCCAACCTCAAATAGGGGTTATCATGGTAATTGGAAGTTATTTTTGAATGGACATAAGCATTAAGTAACTGTTTTCTATAGTATATTATATAAGAAAAAATATTACGGGAATGGCCAAGTGGGGGGGGGGGGGGGGGGCAACATTCAAGTTACAATAAATATATATTCGATATTAATTATTTAAAAGGAAACCGCTCGGGTCTAGCAAGATACATACCCATTCATTACACAATTTCATACATCTTCAAGATCATCGAGTTCTTGATCTTTATTTTTATGTAGATTTTCGTAAAATTTTCTAACTTCTTCCTGGTTAGAATAATCTAACTGTTGTCTCGGTACAGGCCCTCACCACAGTTAGAATACGTCCCATATACTTGCAATGTAGCAAATCGGAGCGGATCCGCTCCGAAACGATTTTGAAGAATATAAAATGATTTGCACTGGGAATAACTACCAAAATAATCAAAACAAACCTTTTTGAGATTGCTTATGCCTTTTATCCCATAAAATAATCCATATAAATACGAAAATCCAATTAATTTTCTCAACGTTTTTCTCTCGATTCAAATTACTACATTCGGAACTCTCTAGATTGTTCCTAGTAAATGCACTATGCGAGTTATCGCCCGTGTTTCTTTCTGCTACATTACGAATACACGGAACGAATTCTATCGTTAAACCGGGTCCGTAGGACAATATCATTTTAACGATAGAACATTCTATCTAACTTCTTCCAAGATCTGTTGTTGTTAGTTTACATATTTGCCATCATTATTAATCAAGTTGTTGATATTCTTATTTACGTTATTTCGTTTTTCTAGGGCACAAAATATGTTGTAGGTTTCCTAATAGAGGAAATACATAAAAATTAAGTTTTCAATTAATTATCTTGGTCTAAGGCTTTGATAACTTGAATTAATTAAAAATCATAGATACAATACAGACTGGAATTTATTTTATTTTATATCAAATAGTAGATGAGTCTAGCTAAGCTGCAGAACTGTGGCGTTATTGTTTTATATTTTAGTCTTTCACCATAGTGTTATGGTCAAACTCTCAAATATACTCGTAAAACCATAATGCTCATATCATTGGGGGTGGGGGGGGGGGGGGGCACAGCCACACATTTTCAGTTTTCAACAACCAAAAATTTCTTGACAACCAAAAACAAAGCAAAAAAAGTCATCAGATGTTTTTAATGAGGGGGCACAAAATTGAGGGGGCACAAGCATATGGTAGTTGTGCTTTCTATAGTATTTTATATATCGGCAAAATTATGGCGGGGGGGCACAATATAACGAAAGGTACCGTCATTAGTATTTCATATAAATAATAATTTTCTCCCTCATCAATGCTCTTATTAAAAAAAAGTCAACCGAAGAATTCCGCAATTCAACGATAAGACCATATAATATTCTATATACGTATCTATTGTTTTGTTTAATGAGGAAAAATAAGAATGTATATATATTTTCCAAAATGTAACCTAAAATTCCTTTTCATGTCGTTTTAATACATATATCTTTTTTTCTTGCATTATTATTTAAGCAAATGACCCATTTCATATGAATATATTCAACGATTTCTTGATAGTAAAACATAATAAAGGGGAGTAATCAAAGTTTACCCTGCCTTTTGATTGGTTAATTTGGATCTTGAATCTCGAAACTCGAATTTCGAATCTCGAATTTCGAATCTCGTATTTCGAATCTCGAATCTCGAATGAGCCTTCTGGGCTTTCGTAAAAACATATGCTTGCACATTAATCATAGATTAATTTAGCGATATATTGTAATGTTAAGCTTAAAATGGGTAACCGAAAAGGTTCCAAATAACGTCCTTAAGTGTAGTCATTCTTTTAATGAGTTGATAACAGTTTATGTTGAGCAGGTGGATTTCAATGAACAAAAATGAAATAATGGGCATTAAAAATGGATATCATCCTTGGCGACAAGGACACACAGCAACCAATGTATAATTTACAAAGAAGATGGATGAATAAGGCGGGCGAAGTGCCTATAGTGCGACATGTAAGAAGTGAAAATTTTAATCTTAATTAAATCCAAATTTTATTTGATATTTCATCTAATATTAAAGTTTTTTATATGATTGAATAATTTCCAAGTATCTGATTGGCTGAGATCCAACTATGTTAGAAAAATATTACGTTGTATTGACCTGCACGTGACGTTCCAGGTCAATACAAGGATTTATTTCCTCCACATTGATCTAAAAATATATTGGGAAATTCTAAAATGATACAAATTCTTTGGAAAGCTATTTTTGGACAATGATTTTTTTCATGTCAGCAAAACATAAGCGAATATATATTTTAGGGTGAGGATGGTAACAGGGGATGCAGCGCCCCCCCCCCCCCCAACACTTTTTCTAAACAACATTTTTTTGGCAGTCAGTTTTCCCACATATACTCCTTCCTTTCAAAATCTTTCCTAAGTAAAAGACTGATATTATTTTTTCATGGCAACTAAAATTGATAAAAAACATGCATTTCAAATTGATAGGACTGGTAGGGTTTATTCATATTTTAATTCTGCTTGCTTCTCTCTTGTATTTGGCTAGGACTTCATTAAATGCAAACAAGTAATGAGCTGTATCATTTTATCAGTGAATAAATAATAATAAAACAATTATTGCTGTTTTTTCGGTCAATATAATGATTTAGCCATCTTCGAAGTACAATATTCGGGCTCGGTGAACATTATACTCCTCGGATGGCTAAATCATTGTATTGACCTAAAAACCAGCAATACTTGTATAATACTTTATGTAAAATCTCTACAATTTACAAAAATCTTACAAAGACTGAAAATATTTGCCTATGAAAAAGCTTACACACACTAAAAAGAACAAAAACGATCATTTTCTCATACTTAAACAACATTTGTCAATATGGGTGGGTCATCTCTCCATGTTTTTGAAAGATGATCCTAGTAGTGTGCAATAAAATACACATTTTTTGGTTTACAAAAACATGGAGCGAAGACCCACTGTACCTTAAAAGTACACTTTTATGACACAACATTAGCATCTTTCCGAAAAATACCACAAGTATGCCTAAAATCATTATGAGTGGTGTAGCATAGTGGTTAACGCGTTAATCTCAAAGCAGAATGCTATTGATACGTCTTTCATTTTCCAAACTTGAATAAAAACACCTTTCAGAAAGAAAAAAAAAACCATAAACCAGTATACGAAGGGTCCTACTCAAAAATGTGTTCTGAAAACAATTAGAAATTTATTAAAAATGTTACGGACATGTGTTTTGATTAAAAGAGAATATTTTAGTTTTATCCTTAAGACTAAATCATAGAAAACGTTTTTTTTTTCTTTCCGAGCACCGATGACATTATATAAATGGTGCCTGTTTTGGAGGGTAACAGTTGAAATTGACACCCCTCGGAAAACCATTGTCAACCGAGGGGTGTCAATTTCAACTGTTACCCTCCAAAACAGGCACCATTTATTTTATTCATTATTTGTGAACAAAAATCACCTTTGTTTTTATTACTTGGGTAAATTAATAGAAATAAGGAATTTAATTACAAGCATTTAGAGCTAATACTTACTTGAGCATGCCATTGTGATCTGTAACAAATAAATGACAGATAATCATACACAGACTTCTCAGCATAAATTAGAAGTATTTCAGATATTAAGGAGAAATCCAGTCAATATTTAATAAGGAATTAATATTATAATGCAAGACTATAAATTACTACAGTCCATTCCTTATTTATTTAAAGTAACATAGGTAATAATAAAGCAGATGCGTTCAGAATTATACAAGTTATTGTAGAATTCTAGGTGGTGAATTATTCTCATTAGTGGCGCATGACGTAGCAAGTTTCTTTATCTCGTCACCTATGTTGCGTTAATCGATAAGAAAGCGAGAATCAAAATATCAATTTTCATCCAGTATATCAAGCATGCATATGACATTCCAATATTTCATTTTTTTTTTAATTCATGAACAGATAGTTTACAATCCGGCTGGTTCTATTTAAGGAGAATACTTTAGACTTGCAAAAAAAAGTTAAAAGCCTTAGGGAAAACTTGTGGCTTGTTCATATATGTATTTTTTTTTTTTGAAATGGTTATGTTAATTTCTTTGCCAACAAAAAAAATATATATATGTAGCCTTTTCATGTGGACGATCTATAGAAATATCGACTTCACAGAAAAGCACAAATCTTCCAAAAACGATGCTACGTCACTGTATGGCATGAACAAATATTTCAAAACTCTTAAAGTTAAGGAACAGATGTAGATATACATAATCTTATACATAACCTTATGGGGTTTTTTTTATTTTAGAAATTTACTTAATTTGGAAATAAATTCTACTCTCTCTCTCTCTCTCTCTCTCTCTCTCTCTCCCTCTCTCTCGCTCACTCTCTCATGTACCGGTATATAAATATATATTTATATATATGGGAAAATCCATTCCCCTTTGTACCACGTACTTTCATTTCTCAATTTCTTAAATGTACTTGAATGTATGTTAGAAAGTATACTAAACATGATTCATTTAAAGGAGAAAGCAACTACTATATCATATACGTTTGTTTTAAGAATGTATGAATTCAGCAAATATTTTGTTTCTCAAAGCATAATATTGTCAAATATTTATTTTGATACATAAAATCTTACCAATCAGTGTTTCCTTTTCTCTTTTGGAACAAGCTTTTTTGCTACACTTCACAAAATGATGACGTACATCACTAAAAGTAGTTCCAGTAGAATCATTTAAATGATTCACAATGACTTTCTTTCACAAATTCTTTATTCAAAGGAGAAATGGATCAATGACTAAGGTGAAATATTGCACGTAAGATTTCCCTAAACAGTCTACTTTCAATAAAGGAAACAATAATCTATGTGTTTAAAAGGCATTTTTTTTCTGAGCCACATTATGCACTCTACCATTGTGTAAAATTTTAAAACATTCAGGCATTTCCTTGAGTCCCTAATTATGAATTTTGGAAGTTTTACCCTATGTATTATGAACAAAAAAATAAAACCTAGACTTTTTATAATATTCCTTGAAAACATTTGAACTCTTTTTTTTTGCGCTTATGCTATTCAATTGACATATTCTTTTCAAGGATAAGGAGTTATAAATGATAAGAAAATACATACCACTTTTTGCGACTTAATTATTTCTAGTAGTGGTAACGGAGTAAATGTTATTCTACTTCGAATCTGTCATGGATATTAAGCTTGAAAATGTGAGTTGTAAAATCCCGAACTTTAATTTCAGTGCAAAAGGTTGAACTCTTGGGAGCCAAACTAATTCTCCTGGAACTATGATAATTTGAAAAATCTTGAACATTTGCTATATAAGGATAAATTGCAAACCAAAGTTAATAATATTTGTTTGTTTTTTTTTTTTATTTCCAAACCAATCATGGAATTCTCGTTTTGATTCAATCCCTACTCTGCCTTTACCTGACATAGTCCTTGGAAGGTTATATTTTGAAATTAATAATGTAAAAGTAAGTAGAACCCTCCGTGATATATTGATTACAGAGCATGTTTTCCATATTTACTGAACAAAGCTGTTGATTTATTAAACGTTTACAAAAGTCGAATGGGTCAATAATTTTTATGCAATCACTATAACTATAATTAATCATCTAGGTCCGTCCGTCCGTCTCACTGTAATCCTACTGCTATTATACCTGTACTTAAAAAAGTCGGATATATTGTTGTTATCCAGTTTAGATTGTGATTCTATCACACTTCTTTCAAAGCTTTCCCTTATCACTCTCCGTTGAAACAGTATTTTTTTCTTTTTTTAAAAATATCTTCTGGGGACAATTGTGAGTTGAAAAGCTGTGTTTTCTTTCACAAATTCTTTATTCAAAGGAGAAATGGATCAATGACTAAGGTGAAATATTGCACGTAAGATTTCCCCAAACTGTCTACTTTCAATAAAGGAAACAATAATCTATGTGTTTAAAAGGATTTTTATTCCTCTTTATTTTACGCAATAGCGTAGATAGAGAAGAGATAGTGTGTATTACCTGTAACAAGACCTTTCTACACACACTTTGATTTTTGACTCAATGGCCTTGATTTTAAAAATTGACTTACTTTTCAAAAAATTAAAAATTACTTTGGCCACGACTTTTGAATGAGAAGGACTTTCATGCTGAAAATGTGTATAACATGTGAAAAAACTACTAGTATTCTAGATACACTATGATTTTTGACCCCATTACCTTTACCTTGAAGTGTGACCTACTTTTCAAAACTTTGACCTGGGTCATGATTTTTGAATACTTTTCACAAAAAGTTATTTTATCCTTATAACTTTTGATGGAGAAGAGACATAGAGCTTTCATATTTGACATGTGCATTACCTGTGAGAAGATATTTCCGAGCATTCTATGATTTTTGAACCCTTGGCCATCACGATTGACATAATTTGAAAAAAATTAACTTTGATGGTAACTTTTGAAAGGCATGTGATGGGGCTTTTATATATGACACAATATGCAATAAATAATGACATCTCACCGACAAAGACACCGAAACCGGGTGACCACAATTCTTTGAATTTGCTTTTATGAAATAGAATTTATACCAACATTATGCATGAGAAGTATATAAAATGCTGTAGTATTCAATTCGTTTAGATACTGTATACCGACGAAATATTATCAATTATCAATAGTTACTTTCATTTCTATGTTCCAATGTAATAGAAGTAAAAAAAACCATACACACATTGTCTGACACATTAGTATCATACAATGATATTTTATTTGAAAAAGACATTAATGGAAATATAACAACAAAACAAATAACAAATTTTCTATCATCACCTCCCCTTATTTGTGTAGCAATGTACCCATATCACCTGCATATGGGGTTTATCCCCCCGGCCAAATTGATAAGTATGCAAGACCATGCTTTATGTACGATCAATTTTTAAAACAAGACAAGCTACTGATACTCAAGAAGATGAAAGATGGATAATAAGTCTCGTTCAAAGTCATCACTTCTCAAGTTCTATTGCGTCGATACAATGATCTCGTCAAGAAACATAATCTATCATTCAGTCAGATGCTGACTGACTAATTGTTGGGTCATTATTAATATACTGAATTTAAATGGAGTTTCTCGTTAAACCCCTCATGAATAGGAACACACACGGAGGTGGATGGTTAACATGAAATGCTTACAAGTCAATTACACTCGATCCCTGCTCTGATTTTTTAAAATTTTGATTTGCTCTGCTCCCGATTTGCATTTTTGAAATACTGTTGTTATCTCAATAATTACTTATTTTGCAAGATGATCTTAATGTTTTGAAAACATGTTTAAGCTTGTTGATTTATTTTTAGATTGATCATTTTTCCTTATCTTCACCTTTTTAAATTCCTGGTACAAAAGGATAGTTCCAAGAACTCCTCTTACTTTTTTTTTTAAACCAGTAGCCAAATCATTTTTGCTAGATAATTGGAGGGTGCAAATTGTAAAAAGGATTCAGAACGTCAATTTACATCCTAGGATTTAATGTGGGTCAAAATAGATATTTCAACTTCCAATATGGGTATTATTGCTTTTTGAGGGATGTCAACGAATATTCAAATATTCATTCGATGAGTTGATATCCGAATATAAAATGATTCAATATTCGTTATAAGTATAAGAGAGAAAATTTTTGCAAGTTAGTTCTTTTAGAAATTGAATCAAGTTCAATCAATTTAAGTCGTAGCGTTCACAAGTAATGAAATAGTTCTTCAAGCAGACAAATAAAATCGAGCATATGATTTTATTCAAAATTAAAAGATATTTCTCTTAGATTACCCTTAAGGGGTGAAGAGTGTATCTATGAAAATAAATTATTCATTTGATCATTAATAATTAGTGGTATTACAGTGTCCAGTAATTACAATCGGTTTCTTTTATTGATAGAAAACCGTTTTCAGTAAACACGTGCCTCCCTTGTTGTTGTATGTATCTTTAAAATCATTATCAGGAAAATACTAAACTAATGGTTATTGTTTATAAGTTGATTGTTTTTATTTTTAAAACTTCACATGTCAATTCAGATAATTTTTCTCCAGTATGTAATAGTTCTGCGTTGTATAAATTTTTAGGGATTATTAGTGTAGTCTTTGGTAAGACGATCAATTAATCTATAAAAATATTTTTAAAATTTTGTTTTGGATGTGGTCCCATATATATATTTTATAAAACTATTTAAAAATATAATTAAAATACTTTCATTGCTGTATATTTACAAACATCTACTTGAAATTTTATTCCAAAATAATGGCAGTAAAGCATATGCTGGATCAGAGGAGAGTGAAGATAAGATATTTTATAATGCAAGACTTATTTTTTTTTTAATCGAATATCAGAATATATTTGAATCCTCATATCGAATATTCCAATATCAATAATTGACAATTTGACATCCGTACCTTCCATTTTTACTTGGAGTTTTTATTTGAAACTCCTTCTTAAAAATCGGAATTTACCTCATAGTTAACAAATTTTAATTTAAGACCCATAATTAATTGTTCCCCGCTTCGTGGAAGCGAGGGGACAATAAAATTCATTAGTCTGTCCTCTGCTACTCTGTCTGTCCGTCAGTCACAAAAACATTAACCTTGATCATTTCTTTTGAATGAGAAGAGATAAGACTTTCATATTAAATATGTGTTTACCTGAAACAAGACGCGGTCTTTCTAAATACACTATGATTTTTTTGACCCCTTGACCTTTACCTTGGAGGTTGACCTGCTGTTCAAAATTTCAAACATGATTTTTAATTAGCCAAAACTTCTGAATGAGAAAGAACTTTGAAATTTGAATGAACTTTTGAAATATGGCTTTTATACTAAAATTGTGTATTACATGTACCTGTGATAAGACTTTTCTAAATACACTATGATTTTTTACCTCTTAACCTTGAAGTTTCACCTACTTTTCAAAAACTGTGCTTTTGTCTAAAATTTTGGATGAAAAGATTTTAGGCTTTCGCCTTTCACATGTATATTACCTATGACATGACTTTCTACATACACTCTGGTTTTTTACCCCGGACCTTGATCTTAACATTTGATCTCCTTTAAAAAAAAATTCATTACAACTTCTGATAGATAAGAGATAAGCCTTTCATAGTGAAATGTAAATTACTTGTGACAAGACATTTCTGAACATGATACTGTATAAGTGGAAATTTTAGCAAGACGCAAATTTAGCGATTTGTCTTTAAAATATGGTATTTTATTTTTAGCAAGAAGTAATTTTAGCGGTTTGAAAATGCTCACTAATAAAGCTATTGCAAATTTAAGACAGTTTATTTTTTAGCGATATCTAATTTAGCGATCTCAGAATCTTCTCCAATAATGCCAAAATTAAATCCTCATTAAAAATTCTACTTACGGTAAGATTTCTGAAACCTTGATGTGACCAAGTAATTACATACTTTATTCATATATTTATTTAGGCTAATACCGTACTCACTTTTGTTTATTTATTTCTTATTCGATTATTGAATAAAGTGAGTATGATTCTAACATTTTGTAAAGGCTTTTGTCGAACACTCTTAGTAATCTCATTCCTGACTGGCGAAATTTTAAAATCAACTAAATCCACTTGCGCAGTAGGTCTAGGTATAAATACTCATGTTCGATTGAATTTACTTGTCCCGCCAGCCAGTTTTCAAGGTCACAACTTCTCGAGGCCATGCTGTCCGTAAAGGTATTTGCTTTTGAAATACTTTTCTTTTTCATAACTTGTTATTTTTTCTCCTAACTTATGTTATTTTTCATTCTATTTGAAGTTATAATTATATATTTCCATTTCTAATTTTTTTTTCTCTGTGATAACTGTTTGAAATTTGGGGGAATTTATATCTTGATAATTCTGCCGGTATGTAAATTAGGCAGGTCGATAGGTCAGCAGCTAAGGAGGCCTAATACGCATGCAAATTTCGTGTGCATCTGTCTCTGTGTCTTACGCTAAGGAGGCCAAATATGCATGTAAATCTCGTGCGGCTGCCTTTGTGTTTGACGTCAGTGTGCGAGGACTATTGAAATTGGCATGGAAGTCCTCCTGTAATTTAAATCTTTTAGTCTATATTTTTAATGTCCAAGTCTACAATTCTATTTCACAATGAAATGGAAATATAAGGAATCACTGTCTAGTTTTGAGAGTATGCCAGGGACATCAACAATAGTGGGAAACATGGGATAATTTTAGCATAACGGGCTTCGCCCGTTATGCAAATTATCCCATGTTTCCCACTATTGTTGATGCCCTGGCATACTATACTAACTAGACAGTGATTCCTTAAGTATTTTCTTTTACAGACACATGCCATTGTCGTTTATTGCTGTTAATAAAGATTTAAACGTGACCTGGTCTTGTTACTGCTCGGTTACATATACCTTCATGTTTGACTTCATTCAACTTTTGGTGATAACTTTTGAATGACAAATGAATGTTCAAATTTGACACAATATTTCTTATTCAAATTAACTTAAAGAAAATTTTCTGTGACAACTTGACTATCCAGGTACAAGGGAGCTAAACATCATTAAGTTTATTATTTAAGGTACAATAAAACTTTAAAAGATATCAGTAATGGAGTTTTATGAAGACTTACTTTTACAATTGACGACTGACTTTTACAATTTAAACATATACAAACTCCAATCACTAAAATATAAAAGTCAGCTGTCAAATGTTAAAGTAAGTCTCTTCATAAAACTCCAATATCATAGGTAAATGTTAGACTTCAAGAACAAATGATGTCACCATCACAGCAATGATTCAACTATCACTATATTTACATAATAAAGGTTTATAGTGCTTATTCAAATATACACGTTTCTTTATTTATTACTACTAATACGGAATTCAAATTGCAAACTACAAGCATGTAAAAAAAAAAAATCAACTATTGTCAACTGTGGTTAATTTCTTACAGGACATAACTTAAGTTTTTGTGAATAGTCACACTCATTCGTTTCTATCAGTTCATGCTTTAAAAGAGAAAACAATGGTTATTTGTAAGCAGAGTGCAATATCGCATAGAGGGTTTTCTTGGCGGGTGGTTTTGGCTTTTGTCTGCTCAAGGCGTATTTCAGCGGACGCAAGGTTTCAGGCTTTTGCAGATAACACTGCTTATTTTAGCGAAAAACTTTTTGCGGACTATCAAAAAAATCCCGCAAAAATAGGTCAAAATAAGACAAAATAAGCATCCTGCTAAAATAACCTGCTATAGTTCACACCTCAACATCTAGGTAATGTTCGTTTCTCTTTTGTCGAGTAAATCCTTTTACTTTTTTAAAAACATCAACATGCCCAAAAGAACAGCTCCCCCGATTGATGTAGCGTATTTTATTAAAGTTTTTATTATTTCCGGATTTTCGTTCTCCACGCCTTTTCTTATCGAATAACGAAGATCTGAATCTCTGACGGCTTTGCTCGGACTTTTTGTTTTCATATCGCTCATCAACATTGTCATCAGCTTTTCTCCCTCTTCGAATTTTTTATTCTTATAGCATGAACCTTTGTTTGCAGCTACATTTTTATCTATCATATCAAGCAAGCATTTAACTTGTCGTTTTTTCTCTTCCTCAGATGCAAAATTATCGAAAAATATGCACCTGTTATCACAACCTTTCAAGATATCTCGCAGGTCTTTTGGAACTTCTTTCAAGTATTTTTCTTCGCTTTTGTTACTTCTGATTAGATCATCTTTCCCAGTGAAAAGAATAATAAAATACTTATAAATTTCCTTTTCAAATTTGCTGACAAACTGGTCAACAACATTCTTTTCTTCAGATGTAAATCTGCTTCGGACAGATATTACAAGAATGAAAGCATGCGGCCCAGGTGAAGTGAGCAGTATACATTTGCCTAATTCTTTCATAACGCTTTCATTGGAAGAATCGGTATCAAATATGCCAGGTGTGTCCACGACATGAACATTTCTACCGAATCTGTCAGCAGTGAAAGAATGACATACTCTGGTTACTGAACTGCCACCAACATTTGTCTCAAATTCCCCAGATTTATTTATGATAGTATTCCCAGTGGCACTCTTTCCACTTCCAGTTTTGCCGAGAAGGACAAGTCGAATTTCTGGTTGGTCATTCTCTAAAGAAAAAGAAAGAAATATACGTAAAGCCATTGCATAAAACATATAAATTACATTTTCTACTTCATATGTTTTCATATTTGTATGCTATAGTTTCATTTCTTAATAATATTTATCTTTATCTTCAAAGACTTCAAAACAGAATACGTATCCCCCCATTTTATTTTTCCTCTCCCCATAGTTGTGAACAGAAAACAAGTAAAGTAAATCCAAAACTATACTTACTAGATGATGCCATTTTCCTGTTTAAAAAAAAATATTGGCATGAGTTCTCACTTCTCGATTAACGTTATTTATTTTACAAAATAGAAAGATTAATAGATATAACACTTACTTTCTAAACAATGGCTATTTTAACAAGTGGGAGGAGAGAGCAAAACATATTAACAACTACATTGTATTTTGATATGTGCAAAGCCATTTTATCATCAATAATTATTTTTTATTTATTACATTCAAGTTAGTCTGATCCTCATGTTCCAAATATCAGGTCTTCTATAATTGAAAATGCTTACAAATCTGTCTGAATTCTAAAAGCAATATGCATTTACCCACGGAAATTCTTCAAACTTCATAATTTAAGTTAATCATATTATTTAGGGAAAATCAGTAAATCTTAAACAATTTCTCATCATAAATAGACAATAAATCAACAAATATATACAAATATACAAATATAGTTATAGTACAGTTATAGGTATAGTAAAAAACTATAGTTATAGTACATTTTTGAAGAAAAATGTACTATTTTCATGTTCTACATTTTTTTTTTTCTTCAAAAATTATTTTTATTTATAATGCATTGTATCATTGCGAAACGCTTTACATCATTTCTAATTTAATATATTGCCAATAAAATCAGTTACTTTCGCTAGATAGAAGGATGTATGGTTTTTTTTCCAATGTGTATTTTTCAATTTTCCTATGGGGATACAAATGTTAACTTTTAAAAAGATTATCTATAAGACTTCAATGAACCTTGAAATAAATTCAAATAAAATGTTGCATGTAAAGATTTCAATTTCAAGCTTCATTTTGAGACTTTTTGAATTAAATAATAAATAAATTAAAGCGTTGTTCTTCATGACTGAGGAGCGGATATCCTTAATTCATAATGAGCTTGAAAAAGAGACAAAAACACAGTTTACCTTAACTGCTTCTTAATTGTTTACAGACTTAAGACGATAACTAACAACTTAATTGTATGGCAAAGGAGACAACTACAGCTATTCCATCGTCAAAATTCCTTATTTAATCGTAAATTTACATTCTCTTTGATAACTTTTTAAAAATGAGTTGATTTGATTTCTTGATAATTACTCCTGAATATAAATTTCGCCCAATGAAAGATGCTGATTTGCAGGTCAAACTCGTGTAGCTGTCTTTGTACCCGACGTCAGTTAGCGAGGACTAAAAATTAACAGGTGGTCAGAAAAACATATAAAAAATTAAGACATTTTATAAATTGATGTTTACAATTCTGCTTCACATGTAAACCGATGGATGTAAATTAAGGTATTCATTGTCTTGTTTGTTTGGTATGCCGGGACATCAATGATAGTTGGAAACGTGGAACTATTTGCATAACAGGCGAAGCTGCATATCACCTGCAAAGAGTGTTACGTCATCTAACATATTCAGTGCTCAAAAGCTCGCTCAGAGTACGATAATTTTTTTTTTACCAAGAAAGGATTATCACAGATAACTCGATGCAATTTTATGAATTTTAATAACCTCACTTAAAGTCAGTTTTTAATAAATTCTATAGACGCTACAATGATTTTACAAATATATAAGATGTTATTTGGTCACATTTTGATTTGTAATGTGTTTCATTCCTTCATTCATTGTAAAGGCTTTGCTTTTATATTAAACTTGACTACAGAACTTTCTTTCAACCTGAACATCTTCCTGATCAATGTTCAGAACGTACAATGTATGACTGCGGTCAACAGGGGATGCTTACTCCTCCTAGGCACCTGATCCCAACTCTGAAATTTTACATCGGTCAGTATTTTATGCCCTGTTCACAGATTTGTATTGTTTACTCTGTGCAGCAGCCAATGAAATGATAAGCACATATTAATTTTTTCTAATAATAAATGATTTTTGCCTACGGGCGCTGAGTACGTATATAAAAGACGAGATCATCCATGTATAATGTAGCATTCCTTGTTAAAAATTGAACCTTTTGCGAGTCATTTCATCTAACAAGTGATATCGCGATTGTGTAATAGCATAGAGTATTGAACAATCCTGAATCAACATAACATACATTTGACAATTAATTGTCAATATTGTGTACCGAGTAACACCCCCACCACCCCAAGCACACACAAACCTAAGTAAAGACTAAATATAGCTACCAAACAAGTTATGGAGTGTTATGTTTTTGAGTTGTAATCAACTTATAAACCTTGCAAAAGAAAAAACTTTAATCCTTCTTGCATTTTAATGATATAAAGATTCATATTATGAATGAGAAGTTTTAAAATTGAAATCTGTTATCAATTCTACATTTCTCTAAATAGCACGTTTTTCATTGAACTATATTTGTCTAAAAGCTCTATTCAAGCCATGCACGGATTTTAAATTTGAATACCTCACATTGTTTGTTGCTATGTTACTCTCTTTCAATTATTATTGGGAATTATTCAACCGTATATATGGAACGCCATCACTGCCTTATAGCATACAACTATGCATTTATTATGTCAATTTATCATTACGTGATGTGAACATATCTTTACGTTATGTCATTTTTTATGATATGATGTAAAAATATCGTAACATCATGTCAATGCTGCATTACATGAAGTAAATACATTCTTTTATTATGTCGGCACTTCATAACTTGAAGTAAAAAATCCATTTTGTTAAGTGATTATGTGTTTACATTGTGTTAAAACTTTATTACTTGAAATGAATGTTTCTTTACATCATTTCATTTCTTTAATATGCGAGGTCAAAATCGCATTGCGTCAAGCAAATTGTGTTTTATAATTAAACTTATCATTACATGAAATAAAAATCCATTCCTTTTTGAGAGTGTATATTTCTATTATATCAAATCATTATTACGTGATATGGATTTATCTTTATTATACGTCGGGAGCATCATTATGTGAGGTGAACACATCTTACCTTCATGTCAGTGCTTTATTACGCGGTGTAAAAAGTGTATAATATAATGTGAACATAACCTTATATTATATCAACACTTTATTACATTATGTCAAAACTCCATTCCGTGATGTGGATATATAATTACGTTATGTCAACCTTTTCTAATGTGATTTAAAAACATCTTTATATTGTGTTAACTCTTCATCATATTGATTCCAAAAGTTCATTACCTGATGTAAAAATACATTTTCATTATCTCAAAGCTGTATATCTGGTATATAATGAATGTTGACGACCATGTTTTAATGACTGGTAAGAGAAGGTGGGGGGGCTCTTCATTGATTAGGACGAATTTCAGGCACATAATATCAGCCCCCCCTCTTTTCCCATATATAACTTTACTATAGAAAATGTAATGTTCATATGGAAAGCACAGCCCCATCCCCACTTTTTCTTGAAGTATAGTCCACTACGGGTAATGTAGTATACTTGGAAAAAAATTAGGACTTTTTTTGTTTCGAGTAGATTTTTTTCTGCCTGACCTCGGCTCCCCTTTCAAAAAAGATGCTACGTCACTGGAATTAGTAATTTTTTCAACAATTCCAGTGCCAGAATTCTATTACAAAAATCTATATATCATTCTAAATCAGTTGAATATGCCTTAGCAAGCATGCATGGGCACATATCAGTGGCGGATATGGGAATCTTGCACAAGGAAGGGGGACGGTATATGGTTGGAGACCAAGGGGGGAAGAAGCTCTTAGGCTTTATAGTTTTATAGAAAAAAGTTTTCAACTTAATTCAGCTAATCTTAAGCAATGTCCTACAAAGTAAACCAATAAATTTATTAATCTTATGTATATTTTGGTCACTAAAGATGGAAGGACGGGATTCCTGCCCCAACCCCCAACCCACCGTTGCACGTTTGTTATACTGTGTGTTAACACTTTTAGAAATAGAAAGGAGAGGTAGAGACTGATAAAAAGCATATGACAATGTTCTTAATAAGATAAGAAGTTTAAGACTTCTATTAAAAAAAAAAAAAAAAAAAAAAAACAATTCAATATGAAAATAAAAAAAAAATGCTGCTCGACTCATAATATTTGATTTATTTAATTATCAGATTAAAGTAAACGCCATTAGAATTAATTCACAGTCGCAGTGTGAAGGCCTTGCGCTGCACGTTTCAAGATTGTCAATCATTTGTCGCTTTACGTTTTCATTTAAATATGCCATTCCCAAATCGCCGAGAATTTCTTCTACGACTGTTTTCTTTCCCGCCATTTTAGTGCCTGCGGAACGCGGAAAATACGTTATGCGCATATAAAGGCCGAGGATACCCGTGTTCGCATAACGTAATAGTGAATCGACATAATGTAGAAGAGTGCGCACAGTATAACATGAGCTTTCCACAGCAGATCAATATGAAATAGCCTAAGATACATGTATTCTGACAAGAGGCTGAGCATTTTTGACACAATGTAAAGACACAATGACATAACGTAATAACGATTTGTTAAAAGTAAGGGCAAATTCACATCATGAAATTGATTCACGTCGTCATGTAGCATATTGATAACATAATGTAGTAAAAGAATTGACCACATGTGACAATTTTTTGACATCATGTAATGAAATTCTGACATCGTATTATAGCGACTTGATATCAAATTAAGATAAATTCACATCAGGTAATGAACTACTCAGACCAAATAGTAGAGAGTGCACGTAATGTAATACTGAGTTGAAATTATATAAATGTATCTTAACACCACGTAAAAATCTTTTGACATAATGTCACAAAGAGCTGATATAATGCAGTGAAAGTTTGACGCAATATAATTGAAGTGTTAGTAAATGTCATAAAGAAGTTAACATAATGTAAAAGAAAGTTGTCGCAATGTAACAGTAGTGTGTGTAAATGTCATAAAGAGTTGACCTAATGTAAAGGAAAGTTGATAAAATGCAATAGTAGTGCTAATAAATGTCACAAAGAGATGACATACTGTAATGGAAGGTTAAGACAATGCAATAGTAGTGTGGGTTAATGTCATAAAGAGTTGACATAATGTAATGGAAGGTTCACACAATGCAATAGTAGTGTGGGTTAAT